TGACTGCGCTCAGCAGGGAAAGCAGCTTTGCACTGTTGTGAAATTCAATATTCAATTCTTGCCCTTTATAATTTTTTATGAATCTAAATCATATTAAAGAATTTTACAACAGTTGTAAAACTAAATTTTCTGCTGAACGCAACCATTGATTCCTTATCTTATCTGAGCATGTTCGACGTTCCGGATTGACGCTATCATGAGTCCGCCATGATTTTTCGCTTTTCTTCGCGCATGGCCGAGCGTGCGAGCGCGGGCTACGCGGAGCGCGGGATACGTATCCATCTGGGAATTAAATTTCCTCGGTAATTTTAATGCCATTGTGAGCCGCCGAGGACGAGGGGGGAAAATTCTCCGAGACAGAGGATAACTAACGCAGTCACCGGGTGTGCACCCCCGACTGCACCGCGTCACGTACCCGCGAAATTTAGTCGTAGGCGAAACGCGCGTCGCCACCTTTGCGTGAGACACGAAATAACCAGCGAGTGTATTCGAACGTTCATTTTCCGCAATACGAAAAATCGTATTATGAGAAACGAGAAAAAAAAGATATTGTTACTGCGCAAAAATTACTATTTTATCGCGTTCTTTTCTGTCTGTTCATTCTCTAATTTTGAATGCTATTTAAAACTTGTTTGCGAAAAGACCTATCTTACTGATTCTCGAGAAGAATACTGTCTTGTTTTTTAAGCATTATTTCTTGTATAATTTATTATTTTTAATTTTTATATAAACTCAATCAATAATCTCAACGATGCTACCTTAGAAAAAATAATACAAACAAAAGTTTTAAAAGATTGAGGAAAAATAGCGTTTTAATTGAAGCGAAATGAGATAAAAAAAAATTAATAAATCGCATAAACTAAAGAAACAAAGCAATGCTAACATTATAATTAACATATTATTAATTAATACCAACATGTTAATCATTGATAACAATTTGATAGATTACAAGAAAATAGTAATGTAAAAAAAATATATATACATATATATATATATATATATATATATATATATATATAATATGTCATTTCAAGAAAATGTCTAAACCAAAGAATATAATTAAGCCATTGTATAACTACGTATTACAGTTGTTATTTTTTTTAGTAGTTTATATAACTAACTAAGAAAATGATGCTAACCAATTACATCAACGTAGTTCCACTAACAATTTCGTACAACTACAAAATCTTAAGTCATCTCAAGTCATTACATTGCCGTGATTTTGATAGTTCTGTCAGTATTACTTTCATTTTCTTGACTTTACAAAACTATTTGCAAGAGTTCTTAAATTTCTGAGTTATCACGTTATATACAGTTACTAAAATTATTTTCTCTCAATACAATGAGCGTGGAGTAAGGGTCACTCGAAAAGTTTTACGTTTCGTTTTGAAGAACCACGTTCCGTACTAACAATTTTACAGCGAGCATAGTGCGATCATGCGAAACATCGCCAATGCGGGCTCGTCGCTCGACGGACGATCAATGATGGATCACCGTGGTCCACGCAGTCTCCCGGCGCGAGAGCTCGATCGCAGGCTCCATTCTCGCGCATAAATCGAGCGCCGGGCTGCGGCCGCGATGGAGCTTTATTTCCGGTACTTAAGCCGAGCCATCGAAAAGTCGTCGGATACAAAGGCAAAGCGCCATAACCACTTAAGGGAGCTTTTCGCCCACCGTGGGTGGCTCACGGCGGAATCTGCGGAGTAAGCGGATTTGGCCGCTGTTATATCTTTATAAATGGAACTACTCGAAAGGGAGGGGCGGCGGGTGCGCGAGCGTGGACGTTCCATATCGCTCAAGGGATTTGCAAAATTACGCCTTTGTTGCCGGTCGTGACGTCCCGACCAGAAAATCTCGAGAAAAATCGTCGTCGGTCTCCCTGAGCCGCCCAGATTGACGCGATTTCGCCTGACGATTAATGACATTGGTAATTGTAGAGACTTTTATCGCACGTGATAATCGCAATTAATTGACGAGAAAGATTAAGAGATATATTGAGTTATTTTGCATACAATTTGAAAGAATATTCTATTAAAGATAACTCTCAAGTCATTCTCTCATGTGCTGCGCGTATATTATTATTATATTTTATCTTTTCTATTTTTGTATATAAGAAAATCTTATTCTCTCTAATATAATTTTTTTACTGTTAAATAAATCTGTAATATTTTAATTTTTAAGTAACTTTTTATTATTTTTATTAGTATTTATTCTTTTTATTATATATTACTTTTATTATTGCTATAAATTTTTAATGTTATAATATTTGATATTTTTATGGATTCTTACAGTTAGCGACTTATAATACAATCTCTTTTTTTATCTTTAGAGAAGAAAATAATAATTAACTTTATGACCGTGTTATGCAATGTTGATATCCCAGAATACTGCTTTTCCGGCTATGGAAACCTTCGTGGGAACAACGTCTATCTACCGAGGTGGCATTCATTCACAGAGAACTTTTTTAAGTTTACTACATAACTACTTATAGAATTAATATAATTAATTGTGACAGCATAATGTTCAATCTCTTTGTCATAAATAATTCATTAATAAAACATTAAATATGTTTTTTTTTTTAAAGAATTAAGAATTAACAACAGCAGATATACTCGTCGCGCGGCGTTCGCAATCAAACGTTCGCTGATAACTGAGCGCTTTGACAAATCATTTACTGCCATCTAAAAGTAGTTTAATATATTTATAAATATTATATGGGTTACAACAGAGAGAAGTTTGAGAATGGCAACGGGCTATAGCCGCGATTTCGGTTCGTAGACCGTAAAGGAGACCGTAAAATTCATAAGAACTCTAGTACACTACTGCCAGTACATCCATTTTTGAAATGGGAACTACATCAATTTACTGACAATGTCGATAAAATTATAGCAGAGAAAAAGTTTACTAAACAATAAAGGGGATTAATTAAGCCCAACGAGTCTTTGAAGTGAAAACCACCGCCGATTATAATTAGTGGTCCTCTTCTTTCTCAGGCAACAAGCTAATGGTGTCAACATGACTAACATTAGCTTGCTACCTGGGTGGCGTATTTTTTATGTTTATATATATTTATATTTTATTTTTTATGTAATATCTTTTGATATCTAAATGTACAATTAAAAAAATTTCAATATACAAAGTATATAATCACATTTACAAAGATTGAGTACATACTTTTTGAGTATAAAATTTTTCAACTATACTCACCGGCAAAAAAACCGGGCACTTAGATTTTAATAGGTGCCCGGTTTTTTGCTGGTGAGTATATATATATCTTTAATTTCAGATTTTATATAAGATTTTAATTGGTTAGGTGGATTTAAATGAATTAGCCCGTAGAGGCCCTCCACCACCCCCGCTGATTATAATCAGCGGTCCTCTTTTGTTTAAAGTAGCAAGCTATATGCCGTCAATATGATGACAAATAACGTTAACTTGCTACTAAATAATGTTAGCTTGCTATCTGGAGCGTATGTATTAATTCATAATATATGATTAATTTTATATTGCACTACAATAATTATAAAATCTGTAGTTTATAACAGTATAATATGATATTATAAAACTTACAAAATGCTGTTTAAAATATAATAAAAAAATTGCAGAATATATAAAAAAGTTAAAAATACGTATGATAATATGAATTTTATTAAAATTATTATTACTAAAATATTAAGTAATAAAAAACAATTAATGATTAAGTCATATTTATTTTTTATACACTTGAGAGTATACGAAACTTATTAAATATTATCTAACGCGGGCAATATTTTATGACCAAAAAAGTCGTTTATAAATTTATGTATTATGGTTTTCCATCGGTTCAAATATTGACGAATTGTACAAAATTTTCTACGGAAATATTCAACGTATAAAAAATAATTAAAGTTTTAGAATGAGACAATGATTAAATAAGAAATTAAACCGCGATAAGAAGTTAGTACAGACAACGAATAAATCGATTGATAATACTCGCGACACTATACTTTCCGAAAAAGGTAAAATCTAAAATATCAATGAATTCCAATTATTATTGCTCGTTGAAAAAATTTTGCGCTTTTTATGGAAGCGCATCTACATATATTTGATTTCAATACGATCCGATTTAAATGATGTACATGTAAATAAACGCAAAAGAATAATTGCCTTCCAGACTTTAAAGTTCTATGAATCTTAATAACGAGAAATAATCGCGATTTTATCCCGTTCAAATATGGATAATTGGCTACTATCAAGATTCCTTCACGGAGTGTACACAGATTACAAACACAAAGAAGAACAATCTTCATGATGGAGAGTGAACGTAATGTGCTCTAATTCTACATTGAATTCCGCAAGGTCTATATCCGCAAAAAAAAGTTAAGCGATTCATTAAACGTTAGCAGTTCTGTTACAAAAGGAAACAGAATCCTAAATCTTTCAAACTGCTCCCGATAGTAATGGTAGTAATAATTTTAGCAGCGTATCAATGACAGTTATCATTGTTATCGCATCTTTAATATGTAAATTCGCATAAACAAAATGTTCTTTCCAATTATTGAAAAATCATTTCTTCTTATTAAAAAATGAATAGAATGATTCTAATGGTTACAAAAGAATATATTCAATAATAATAAAATACATGCATTATTGTGTATAGCTTATTATATGTACGGGTACCAAATGTTCGAGATGAGTCAAATCCGATAATAGCGGGATATTTTAAAGAACATTGTATTGAAAACTCTATGAATATAAAACTTAAAAATTCCCTATTTTTCGACGTTTTAAAAATTTTAGTTATTGATATCCCACTAATATAGGAGTACCCATTCGACTAATCTCGAATTTTTTGTAACCACACATTTCTAATTACATTCATGTATTCGTGCATTTACACATTCATGTATAGAAGTTTTAAAATAAAAGTCAAATCTTTTGTATAAAATTATCTAATTATAAATCGATAAAAATTTGTTAAATAAATTTTATAATATATGCATGTATTTTATTAACAAGAAGTATAAGTATTACAACTAAACTAAATATTCCAGAGAATGGCGGGATGTCCAGTACCTAAAAATAATTTCTTGAAATAGATTAAAAGTTACAGAATTAAATATATACGCTCGTAACCATATTTTTAAAATACTCGCCAAAAAATAGGCAAATTATTGAAATAAAGGTTGAATTTATTTTGCTTGATAATTGAAATTCCAATAATCACTATATCCATATTTATTATACATACAATATGTTCTATTATTATTAAGATAGCTGATATTAATATTGTTATTAATGAAAGAACATTTAGCAAAAAAAAAATACTCTCAAAATATGTGCATTATTAATAAAATTTCACGACTCAATTTTAAAATATATAATGGCCGTCATTGATTTATTGCCAAATTTAGAATTTCCGAGAATTGTCGAAAAACTCGGGATTTATTTCGATCCTGTAACAAGAACTTCCAATTTTCAATAAGACACCGAACTAAATGTCATGGATGAATCTCATAGAAATCAGTGAGGAATAACTCTCCATGACGAAGATTGTTTCGATTTTCTATCAGTATGAATCATATATTTGGCGCTCACTTGACACGACGGACAGCGGGAGAGGAATGAGACAGTAATCGAGCTCAAGAACAAGAAAAGAATACAGCGTTTGAAATTGCTATTAATAAATATTTAAATATTTCTTAACAAATATATTTAAAGTTTTAATTTAAATATATTCTAAATGTAATTCAAAATTTTTCTAAATATATAATTTAAAAACACTCGTTAAGGAATATTTATGCATTGCAGAAATCACGGAAACGAGTTCATGAATGTAAGCGTCAAATTTTGAGCAAAAAATTAATATTCATTGCCTCAGCTAAAACTCGAATCTGCACATCTTATATAATAAATTTGTATATAAAATGCTATTAAAAATTGATAATAATTTTAAACACCAAATTTTAAATTAAAAATTACTCGAAATTATTAATAACTTTTCGGTACTCAAATTAAATCCAAATTTGGAAACAAAGAATTTTAAACTTAAATATTTATCAAAAACATAAATGTTTAATAAACTTCTTATTATCATACGTGTGTTTAGTAGCGTAATTTATATTTAACGTAATTTATATTTAAGCAGGAGAGTTATGTCGACGCATTATTAAATTATCAAATTTTATAATGATATATTTTATTGTCAAGTTTTTTTTATAATAAAAAAGAGTTTTGAATTTTGCAATGATATGTTTAATTATTAAGCTTTCTTTGTGAGAAAGAGTTTTGAATTGTTTTTATTTTTATTGTATACGTATAATATACAAATATTTCTATCTTAATCTTTTATGACCTATCCATTTAATAGCTGTGTATTTATATATACATATATATATATATATATATATATATATATATATATTTCTATCTTAATCTTTTATGGCCTATTATCTATTTATAATAGCTTGTGCATATATGTATATATTAATCCACGATAAAGATCGAAAAATCTATCCTCCACCGGTACGTCTTATTTTTCCTTCGCACAATTAAATCAAGTTATCAAGACTGACCATCTGGACAACGTTTGCGCACGAGACAGCCATCGCGCCTGAGAATGTGGAAATTGATTATATGCTAATCAAAATTAAAATATCGAGATATTTTACGCGGTATTTCCAAAACGCGAATTAACATTTCAACCGATTTCACCCGATTAACATCCGCGTTCAGACTCGAACTGTTTACAAATGTCAAAGTGATCCATGATAGAATCGAATTTTAATTGGATTGGAGAAATATCAGCAATCTCGAATTACTCGAATCTCTAGGTATTGAGGCAAACAGGAATATCTGTTACCATACGCACCGGTCATGCCTCATGCGAAAGAAGACGTCAATCGCTAACAATAGATAAATAGATCAATATTTGTAATTACACAGGTGGCCTGGTTGTGCAATTACAAGTTCAAACGCGCGAATTTTATTATACATAATCACTAATCATCTTCTGGTGATCATAACTCAATAATATTATTTTATTATTAAGTTCGACATGATCGACATGATCCTTGTGTCTCATATCGCTAATAAACCAATAAATTATGATGTTTCAGGATTAATTATTCAGTCTAATCTTATCTAATTTATCTATTTTAGAGTAACAGATCTGTGAAAAGTTGCAGCAATCTACATCCTATTGTATAGATATAATACATGATATAAGTATACATGTTTCACAGATTTGTTATCCCTTTCATAAAAAAAATTGTCACTCACCAATCCGATTCGCAACGAGCGGAGTCATCTGCCACGAAGCTGCGATGATACTGTAATACACAAACATAAGATTCAAATTAAAACATCGCTTAAAATGATCAAATTTTTAAAATAATAATTCTTACGCGCATCAAATTTTTTTATTCTTTTTATCTTTTAATTATAGATATTTACTGTATAATATAATAAATCTATTTTCTGAAAAAATCTTTACAAGAATAAAATTTTAGATGGACATATTTATACTTTTGTCGATATTTTTGGATGTACTTATAATTTATACAATACTTTTTGTCTTCTAGTTATTAACTTACTGAGAGAAATTATTTGAATACATAAGAAAAAATTGTTTATTTTATGCAGTAGAAAATGATACTCACCCCAAGGTTGCTCCGCTGGAGCCCGATGCCTCTCCTAGGTCTCCTCCTCCTCTCAAGTTGTTATATCAGCGATCAGAAAATGAAAGCGATTAATGGTCCTAATCTCGATTTTTTGCTCCAGCCGATTCGCTGAAAACAAGGAATGCTCTAGTTTAAGATCGAAGCAGCTCCTTCAGCACAATCGTATACGACTTATATAAAAATTATTCGCTATGGTGGGTGGTGGTAGGCCAAAAAAAATTTTTATTTTAAAAATTACATGATACAAAAATTTTTCAAGAAAAAAATTTTTACTTTAAAAATCACATGATATAAATAATTATGAAAAAAAAATTTTTACTTTAAAAATCACATGATATAAAAAATGGTCGTGAAGAATATGTGTGGTGGATGGTGGTAGTGAGTGGTGGTGGTGTTTGTTTTTTGTTAAACAAATTGTTATCAAAGTTAAGCATAATTATAATCAATTACTAGAACGACGATCACGCAAAAGTTTCGCACTTACCAATCATATGATTCGCGACGCTATTCGTTCCGGAATCGTTCTGTATCCGCCGCGTCCTGCAATTAAAACATTAATATAATTAAGATGGCGAAGGAGTGCGCTTCGTCTCGCACGCGATTAACTTTACGCGAAATGAACACCGCGGCAACGGCTTGATTTTCGGCCGAATGAGTATTGCGAAATACTCGTTCGACCGATTCATCAGCAAGTGCCAAATAAATATTGCACAAATTAAATGCGAGATTAATAATATAAGTATTACTTGCCAGTTAAATGAATCGTGGCGTCACTTGTTCCGGAGCGAGTCCATTCCGTAGCCACCGCGTCCTGCAAATGAAACGTGAATGCTATATTGAAATAGCGCAAGTATTTCATTTCTGGCGCGGTCAACTTCACGCGCCAAAAGCGTCGCGGCGCGGCGGCGTCACTTTTCGCATTTTATTCTTTACTTCGCATTTATGCGTAATTAAGATCGCGAAACGGAGCAATTCGTTTTGCACACGGCAAACTTACGCGAGACAAGCGCCGTGTAACGCGACGGCGGTGCAGCAGCGGCGGCAGCGGCGACGCAACACATCTTGATTTTTGTGAGAATGTATTGCAAAATACGTATACGAGTTACTTAAATGTGAGAGTAATACGTGTCCATCAAAAATGAAACGTGAACGCGATTAAAGTGGCACTGATGGCGCAAGTGTTTCCGGCGCGGTCAACTTCTAATAAATATTATTTACGCTCGCCATGTAATGTAATGCATAAACTGCTACAAACACGAAGTGTTAGCGACGCCGCCGCGCCGCGTCGCTTTCGACGCGTGGAGTTGACCGCATCGGAAACGATCAAGCACTTGAGTGACGCCGCGACTCCTTTAATTGATAAGTTAGATGCAAAATTGATATGATTATCGCTTATCAATTTAAAAGATCGCGACGTCAATCAAGTGCTTCGTTTCCAGCGCGGTCAACTTCACACGCCAAAAGTGAAGTGATCGGCAGCGTCGATTCGATATATGATTCATCGGATGCGTATTTCGCAATACTCGTTAGTCGTTCGGTCAAAAATCAAGAGACATGTCGCCGCGTCACCGTTGCCGCTGACGGGGGCGACGACGGGCGCACGCAGGACGAATTGCATCGCTGCGATTCTGAAATCATTAGGTTACCACAACCGTACGGCGTACGTGGGTACTGATAGCGTTTTCGAACGGAGCGAGTTTGATCGCTCCGAGAGCGATTAATGACACACTTGCTCTATTTTAGATTTCTGATTAGACAAGGAGAGCATGTGACGTTATTAATAGCTCTCAGAGTGATAAAACCCGTCCGAAAACGCTGATGAGATTCTCTAAAGAATCTGTAAATCAAAGGTTAAAGAAAGGAAGAAAGGAAGGTTAACAGAACTTACAGCTACATCATCCCTTTGCATGACGCGAGAATCGCGAGATTCGCGTGATGTGAGTTGCGAGTGTTGCGACGCGACATAACGACTCCTCTACGCTCCCCTAGCTCGACGTAGAGTTCCTCTAGTCAGAGTTGAGACATGAGGCGGAAAGACGCCATGTTTCAGTCTTACCGGAAACAGCCAATAATTCGCTGGCGCAACTTTCAAATCATGGAAATGAATTATAACTTATACTAAAATAATTTTCAAAATGTTTTCACACTCAGAATAAAAATGCGACATGAATGTAACATAATTTTTTATTATTACAAATAAACGTATGAATCTATAACGTACTATAACCAATAGTAAATAATATCAAATAATAGTGCGCAGAAACGTTATCTGAAGTATTTACTACTGGTTACTGTTTAATTTTAGATATAGTTGCAGAATCGGTTTGTGGTGATACACTCTGTAGAACCATACCATACAATGATTGAAGAATAATTTCTTACTTTTGTAAAATTCTATAATTTGATTCTGTCAATTCTGTGTGACACCATGACAACTCTGTTGTCTGTAGTACTCTATACCAACAAAAACTGATTTCACCTATTCACTTACATTAACTAACACATCGACAAACTGAAATATGGCGGCACCAATCACGAAGAGGACCGCTCGTGTCTCAACTCTGACTAGAGGAACTCTAGCTCGACGTGGAATGCCGCGCCGCGGCGGCAGTTTGTGGCAATTGTGGGCATTGTGGCTGTGGATATAGCACGGACACGCACCACATTTTATCAACAATGTCGATAAAATATATATCTGTCATATCTGATGTAGTCCTGACTCGAACCACATCCATTCCCTGCATCTATGATTTTACCGTGTCAGAAAATGCTGTAGATACGTAGTTTTTTTTCAAAAGTGGATGTAATGGCGGTAGTGTATACAGGAGTTTGCCGGTCCTATGAAAAACGCCGGGATGGCCGCTTACAGGTTTGAGGTTATGGGCAAGGAACACAGAGATACGTAGAGATTACGGAGATTACGGAGCAATAATACGGAATTGTATGATATACGAGTTATGTGTACACGTCGAAGTTATTATACATGATATTACAATTATGTTAGAAAAACCGTCCAGTACGGATAATCCGTTATCCAAAGAAGATTATTTGATCATGAGAGCTAAGAACGCATTGCCGAATGACATTTATGCCGCTAAATCCTGGCTAATCACTGCAAGATCTTTATTTCCGCATAGTGCAAAAGTTCAGGTTAGTACCGGCTTGTCACTATATATATATATATATATATATATACATATATCTGAGAAAGAGAGATTTTTTAATATATTTTATATATTATTTTATATATTTACTTTATATATTTACTTTATATATTTACGTTATTTTATATATTTACTTTGTTTTTTTTGTTTGCTTTTTTTTATGCGATTGAATGAAATAATTTGTTCTGAAAAATCAGTGTCTCATAATTTTTAAATTAGTTTTGAAGTGAAATTGATCTATAAATATCTGTAATATTATATGGAGTGATTTTTAATGATTTCTACTTTCAGTTTGAGGCATATCGTATCGAGAAATTGTCAAAGAATGTCAAAGAGGCAGCGAAATGCTTCAGCGAGATGTGAGTACCATTAAAATTTATATATACAAGACTTTCTTTTAATCTTTTCTTTAACGTAAGCGCAGATTCCAAAATTTCCCGGACGATCGCGATATATGGAAAGAGATAGAAACGGTAACGACGTGTCTTCGCTTGGAACAGTGCGATAGCGAGGCTGAATTTTTGTGCCAAATGTTTCAACATATCCCGCAGGATTTGCAGCATAGGCTGCTTCTGATGACAGCGGATCATAGCGAAGACACGATGGAACATTGCAAATTATTGCTCTTACTACTGAGCAAGTTTCCTCAAACTATAGCAACTCATGGGGTATGTGCCTTAAATATGAAACAAAGATGCTTAATTTTTAGAAGATGCTTATTTGCATTGTTGCTTTTTACAGCCACGTTTGGTGGAAACTCTGTTGACTGCCGAGAAACATAGTCATCCAGGACGAGCTGTGAATGGCTTCAGACGACTACTGGCGTGCGAAGCACTACCGCTGCTCGGTGGTGCTGCAGTGGAATTGATGCCTCGTCTGAGTCTACGATTGCTGTGCAAGGCTGTGGAATTTTACTTAGCGTACATACAACAGCCGCAGGACACGCAAATCCAAAATCCATGGGATAGACTTTTCCAAATCGTGGAGCTGATAGGCAAGAAACTAGGATGGGAGTTGAGCAGTTTATTTGCCATGCCTTGGAGTCGTGAAACGTACAGCGATAGACTGCAGCAGTATGCAATTGCGCACAGCGCCGGTCTGTGCGACGAGCCTATTGTTAGACAGCTGCTGATGTGTACAATTGTAGTATTACTGAGAATATTAAATGAACATAACGTTCTCATTAATAACGAAGAGACAGCATACTGCCTCGTAGAGGCTTTCGGGGATGGAGTGTATTCTTCTGCAGGTGAGACGCTATGTTTACGATTATTTGGATAATTAAATTTTATATCTTACATCTTAAATTCTATGAACCAGAATCCAAATTGAAAAAACGAAAACGAGATGATAGTGCTGGTGTAATAGTAACCAGTGACAGCGACTACAACGGCAGTGGCCTCGCGTTGGCAGTGAAGCTGTGGGATTTATTGCACAGTAGTGACTATCTTCAAAGAGAAATAACTAAACTGAATCAACAATTGCGGCTAGACAATTGGCTGAATCTCTTCTTGACGGACTTGGCAATGTATAAAGGTTTACATCATGAAGTAATGGCCAGATTATCAGAAGGCGGCAACTTATCTGCTAATCTTCGTTCGGCCAGTACATGTTTCTTTTTGAAAGATTACAAGGTGGGCTACGATTGCAGTCTCATTGAACTTTAATTAATTACACAGAGGGTTCCGTATTTTTATTTTCTTTTTCCGAAGCTATTGAAATAATTTTTCTTCCAGGGCATGTTGGAATACATTGTTCTGGTGACAAACTCTTTACCCACTACATTAGGCAAAATATCTCACAATCTGACAGTTCCAAGTATGAGACATTTACATTATTTGACTCTCGCCCGTTTCCCTATTTTACAATACTGTTGCAGATTGCTTCTTTTAGCTATAAAGGTAATAACCCTTTTTTGTTATATTCATTAATATATTGATAAATTATATGATTGATCTGACTTCAGGAAAATTTTTCTTTACCTGGAAATATTGGGGATTTGGCTATTGGACACGCATTAGTCCTCATGCAGATAGACTGGCCGCAGGAAGCTAGTATTTTAACTATAATAACAGAACGAATTCTCAATCGTGGAAGTTTTATCTATCCATTATTCCAGCCGTACGTAATATGTGTAGATATCTTGGAAGAATTAACGTATTTATGGACTGAACATGGCGGAGGGGTATCACTGGACATAACGACGGGAACGGGAGTTATACAAAGTACATGTGTCTTCCTTTAATTACTTTAATATATACTATATGTAAAAATAAAAAGTATATGTGAGAATTTTATTTCTAGATCGTCGTATCACCACCCGTGGTGCCGATAAAGGAGTACGGGAGGAATTGAAGCAAACCATGCGTCGACAAGCGGCACGGGATGGTATTGAACCTTTAGATGAATTGTTACAAAAATTTATTATCAATGAACAAGGCGCCATTCTGCACAGCTTAATTATCCAATGAATTAATTTTGAGTCTCACCGCATGTAGTCGTATAACTTGGTGTATACAATATTTTTATATCAAACTTTTTGAAATAGTTCCCGACACCCATAACTCAATTCTTGTTCCTGAGTATTATTTAACAATAATAATTATGTGATATTTTTGTGAATTATTTATATAAAGACGAGGATTCAAAAAAGATTTGTATATAAAATATATATAAATTTATACAATTGAAGAACATTATTTTTGCTTATTGCAAAATTTCACTTTATATGTTTAATATGCATTGAACACAAAGTAGAAATCACAAAATTTGAAGATTTATAAAAAAACATTGTTCATTTTTCTCGTACAATAGATTTTAATATTATAATTATATTACATATGATTAAAACAAGGTTTTCTTAACATCTCGCCTTTAAGTCTCTTATATGGACGTCTTCTGTAAATATATCTTTTCTTATATATATATCTTTAACAATAGGATTAATAACCAACAAAATAATGTAAAATTACTCTGATAACTGATAAAATATAATTTTCAAAGCAGAATATATATAAAATTTGAAAGTAATACGTGTGTTTGCAGATATATAATTACATGCTAAATAATTGATTATTTACTATTGATTATTATACAAAAGAATTAATATAACAAATAATCTTCTCATTAAGGCTGTTTAGAATTAAAAAATAAAAAATAAAAGAAAAATATAGAAATAAAAATTCATGATGAATATATGAACAATGTAGATTATTGCATTCTATCTAATGTAAACGCTCAATTGAAGGGCACTTAGAAGCAATACTTTAATTCCGGGCATAAAGGAAGCTATTTGACTAAAATCTGGTCCTGATACTAATTGCGTATGTAAGTCCAATCCGCCCGTATAATTGCCATTTTGAATCATCTGTGATATTTGATGTAAGACTTGCAAAGTATTCTGAGATAACTGAAAAAAAGACAATTTGTTTGAAATATACACAATGTACAATAATATTATCACTACTGACTCACCTTATTTTCTCTAAGGCAATCGTATAACACTTCCAGTTTCTTTGACACATCTTCTATCTTCCTTTTGATTTGCTAGAAAGATAATACAAATATAAATGTTAAACAATAAAAAAAATGTATGTACGTATACGTATATGTTCAAAATTGATTATTTACCGGATTTTTTGCATTTTCATAACATTGATTTTTTAATTCATCCAATATCGTTTTTAAATGCAAATGTTGCTCGGGTATAGGTGCTTTAGGTTTTTCAGGTTCTGCAACCCTTGCAGGCATCGCAGGTTGCATTGGTTCAATTGGTTTGTTAAGTGGTACCGTATTCGGCACGCCTTGCCTGAATTGCGGATTATAAACTGCGGGAGGTTCCGGATAGAAGTTGTCTTGAGGTAATGGCTAAAAAAGTTACGTTCAAAATTAAATCGAAACACAAATCGTACAAATGCGTGCATGTAAATGCATATTCAGAAATTGTATATAAGGCTTACATTCGATTCTGGTTGATTAGTTTGAAATGGATGCATTATTGGATTTTGTAGTTGATAGTCCGTTTTCGACTGAAAAATACAAATAATTCATTCTTAATACAGGCTTTTCGGCCACTTTGCAGTGGTGATACGATAACGCCAGTCTATAACAGCATGAAAGCTTTCAGACAACAAAATCCCACATAGTTCACTTTCATCACTTTAATACTTAAAGTGATAATAATATCACAATCAAATGTGTGAAAAAAAATTCTTTATGCTTGTAAAATTTGTGGCACTTAAATTATTAATAAATGATAATAATCTGCTAATTGACGCCAGAATGCAAAGCAGTTTGAACTTTTTCGTCCGTACAACACGCTTATTAGTATTATATCACACAAAGATAAAAAGATTATCATAATCAATTAGATTAATTCTATTAAGTATGGGGAAACGCAGGAAACACTAAATAATATATTCTATAATTATGCGAAACATTGTAGAAATAGCACTCTCGACATGTGAAGCCGACTACCTTAACGTCTACACCCTTTGAATGTTTTGCCTTCCACTTCTTAGTACCAGAATGTTCCGCAGACATTTCGCAGTATAGTGCCAGTACTGGCTATATGATTTTAATATATACACATATCAGTATCAAAACGTAAAAGATTTATTCGGACGAAAGACAAGGGAATAAGTAGAAAAGACAAGGAAATAACGAGTAGGAACTATTATAATCGGAACTGAGCGATGCAAGTGAAAATGCGAGTAAAAATCGAGATGATTTACCTGTGCTCTGCTTTTCGCAATGGGCGGATCGTTCCATCCGGACGATTGCGGCGGTAATGGATACGCATTTTCGTTCCCGTATGCCTGCGTTTGCGAAGTAGGCTGGGATCTAACAGGATCGTACATCTGGGTCTGTGGCACATTTTGCAGCGGCGTCATTATGTTTGGCTGAAGCGGCTTGTACGGTTCCGGTTCCTTAGGAGTATTCATGAAACTTGGCGGTTGACTGGGATAAACGTTACCCGGCACAGGAACCTGGGGTTGATATGAATTCTGAGGGTAGCCGGGGACAGGTGGGACTTGCTGAGAATTGTACAGCGGATTCGACGGCGGGAAGGCAGTCTGACCGTACGACGGGGTGGATTTCACAGACGGATCTACCAGATATTTTGTTCTCGATTGCGGTCCGACACTGGACGGTCTCGAGCCGCTCAAATTCGAAGCGGATGTCGGTGGAGGTGGAGGAAGAGGCTGCGCTATCGGGGCCTGATTGTACGAGTGTGATGTAGAGTATTGATCGTAGATTGTAGACTGCATTTGAGATTGAGGAGGCGGGGGCATTCCGTACAGCTGAGTCGGCTGGGCGTTGAACTGATTCGTGGGTGCCCCGTAAGTTTGCTTCAGCGGATTCGTGTTCCAGTTCTGCGCAGATGTCGTTTGTTGCAACGTTTGCTGTTGCTGCAGCGGATGGCCTTGCGGCACCCTTCGCGGCTGTTCGTAGTAATTCTGAGCCGCAGGTTTCGCAACGTACCTCTGTTCTTGCATGTAACTTAAAGCTTTACACAGACGATCCCGCAGCATCGAGACTCGTTGCTCTTGGCTGTTCCCGAGATAGTTCAAGGCGGATTCTAGATCGCCCTCTGCCGCCAGCATCTCCGCGTACTGAGACAGCACAGTAGCAATTTTGTCGTTTATCTGAACTTCCCTGATGCCTTGGAGTTCCAAGGCTTTCTGCATTATCACGACCAGTTCTACCACTTCTTGAATGTCAGCGTCGGACACTTCAATCAGTCTGTTCAAATTACCGGAGCAAATGTAACAAATTTGCGCTTGCTTCTTGAGAACGGGATTTTCAGACGACACCAAGCGATCGCCCAGCATGTCTGTTACACACAATTCATATGATGCAAACGATGAGAATAGTAAATAATTGTAACAAATTAGCTCTGTAATATTATCATATCCTTACCGCACAAGATAGACCGTTCCTGTGGAAGCGAATGTGTAAATATGCCAACTAGTGCCTCCTTCCAACACTTTAGATCACTGTTCGTAACAACCTCTGCCCAATTTTCGCTAACTAATGAATTGATGAGAGAATTTAATGCACTGGAGTGCTCTGAAAAGTATCTGCACTGGGTACGTGCCAGTAGATCGGGACCAGCGGCCATCGAAAGAATTATAGCTTCGGCGTATCTTTTGCTAGTAAAGCACAAAGATACAGCGGCCTCAATATTTCCTGAGATGATGGCTTGAGTAATAAGACCATCTTCATCTAAAAGAATAATGCAAACGTAAATATGTTTGTAAATTTGTTGTGCTGCGGCATTAGTATTATTAATGTGTTAATTACCATCGGAAGTATTTATAACGTAAGTACTATCTGCAAACTTATTTGACACATTTTTGCTTTGGTCTTGTACAGCATCAAATGCAGTACTGCCGACCATAACATTTCCATTTATTGCCTAAGTCAAACAAAAAAAACACATACATGTGTAATTAAAGTTAAAATAATGTTCGCAAAAGTACGATTAATTATAGCAAAAGTGCGATATAAATATCAATGAAATCCTTACATTGTTAAGATTAGAGACACCATCTATGATACTGTTTATATCGTTCGGAGGCACAAACTGATTCAGCTTATTATTCATTGTCTCGATATTGTAGCCCAATATCTCCAATATGCTCTTTGTCACATTTTCATCAAAGTAGGCACGTACACATCTCCAGACCTTCTTGGTATGTTCGTCCGGGGACTTATCCATCTTTTCCTTACAAAACTCACTAAATTGCTCAGTTTCCAGTGTCGCCTTCAATTTGTTGGAACGTTGAATGAGACTGGGTTGTACGATTACTTGTGATATAATAACTTTCCTATTCGCTTTCTTGTTTAAGTTCGGATCAGCGGGCTGATTCTCGAAAATCAACAATTTACCACCAAACTGAAAATAACATATTTTTATTGAATAATTTATTACAAATAAATAATACTCTATCACAAAAGTGTTCTCTGTTTAATATAACAAGTAGTACAATATAAAGCAAAATTAAAAACTTACTCCGAATGATGCTCCAAATGGCCTTTTTAACCATTTAGGTGCTTTCGTTAATACTGCCGTCGTTCCTGTTTGTACTGTCGATTGGGTGAACGGATCCACTCCTGGGAACGAATCCCCGATTTTAGGTGTTTCTTGCCGTTGTCCACCTAATAAAGAATAGACAACAGCATGACCATCGAAACTACTGCCAACAATCAATCCTGGATTCCTCGGGCACCAAGACACATCAAAGTTCCACTGAGCTGTTTGAGCTAACTCGCATATCACCTCGCCGTTCTGTCATTCAAAAAATGATGATATTTAAAGTTCGACCAATGTAACGGAATTGCATATCAATTCAAAGCATTGCATACCAATGCACTTGAATTAGGATTCCAGCACAAGATTCGGTTGTCCTTGGCACAACTCAGGAGTAAATCAGCATCTTGCGGATTCCATGCGATCGAAAGAACACCACGCTGATGACCTTGCAGAGTTTTCAAAGGTGACGTTGGAACCCTCACGTCCCACAATTCAATGATAGGCGTTTGATCATCTTCAGATGCCAAGCACAATTGCGTTCCAATATCTGGATGCCACTGGGCAACTTTCCAGCGTACCTATATATAATTGGAACAGTTGTGAATTATTTCTAAACAAGTTTTCGTGAATTGTATGTCACAGTGTCAAAATGGAAAAGAAATTGTACCCTTGAATTTGCATCCGTCAATTTGAATATTGGCTTCTTTTCCTTCACGTTCCATATAACGCAGCATTGTGAAAATGTGGAAGCAAGAATGTCCTTCAAATGTACTGTAAAATGAAACAAGAATCACATTAGCTGGCTCGGTAGATCAGATTTGCGTAAACAATTAGTTTCGAAATGCAATTTCTTCGAGCAGAATTTAATTGAAAAAAAAAAAAAAACCTTGTCTGTTCCAGGCAATGTGCTGAACGTCTTCTGACTGTTGGCTTCTGGAGAGGGTTGTCGGCGTGTTTGTATTAATATCCCAAATAAAGATCTCGCTTTCTGTTGCACCTGTGGCCAGTTGATTTTCCTCTCGAAAAGGATTGAAGTCCATTGCCCTGACAGGACCGGCGTGCCTGTGAGGGCTGTTTATCAGACAGTTACTATCTCTGGCCAATAACTTTGCAGCAGAATACAGCTTTATAGTCCCATCCTCGCAACCGCCGACGATTATGCCTGCCGGATTATTTCCATAGGATCCCCAGATAATTTTGTGAAACCTAGATTGATGTCACTCGATTAATGTCAGCCTGGTACGTTAAATTTAACTTTATGCGAGTCACTGACCTGTGATCACTAGGGACGCTAGCCTGGAGCTCCATCTCGTACCCTGGCTGCTGTAGATTCAGCGAGTACAGATCTAAACTGGCCGAGGTACTGAAACTGGCGTCCAACTGCTGCGCCGCCGTCCCGGCAGCCAGCATGATGGGATGCTGAGCCGAAGGGGACCATGCTACGTTCACTGTCTTCAGCAGCTCCTTGACTTTCATCTGCACACGACAGCGGAGAAACACTTGCTCTTAGAGTTCCATACATTTTATTAAAAAAAAAAAAGTTACACGTCTTGATGAGTTATAAAAAAAAATCCTTTCGCGAGTGACATGATGGTATCAAAACAGAAAAACCGGAGCGCGATAGCGGTTAACTGTACGTAAATACAGTGGGACGATAGTGTCAAAAAATGCGATTGACGTTGCGGACAATCTGCGTCGTGGGGGAACGTCTACGTCCCGTCGTCCGAGCGAAATGCGATCGTCGAGACGATCCGACGGACCGTCCGTTCCTCGAGTGACGCGAGTCTCACCTTGGCTCGTCGTCCGAGTGGCCGTAAACAGGGAGATTCCTCGGGCAAAACGGCTGACACGCGGGGGTCCGGCGAGATGCGACGACCCGTCAAATCGAGCCTTCCAACGTGGCGTGCTGCTGCACGCGAACCGTCAGCAGTGCCGCCCTCCCTTGGCACCGTCGGCGCATTACAACATCCGCGCCCGGCCGCCCCGCCGCCGCCGCCGCGCGCCGGCCCGTCTTTCCGCGCGTCGGCTGCTGCTCCGGGCAGCGAATGGCGAATCGCTCCAGCGCGTCGGAGCCTTGGAGGAGCACTCGCCTCCGCTACGCTACTCACGGGAGTTGGAGCGTTGCTTCAGGACTGTTCGGGACGAGGTAAATATTATAAATATAAACCTAACCTAAATTTGAGCAAAAGTGGAATATTACGCTTTTCACGAGATTGTCGATTGACGAGCGGAACGTCCGTTTACGTCTGCTCGTCTGTCGTTTCCAGGGTGTGATTGCACTCCGTTTTCTTTCGCAGTCTTTACTTCAGAGCAATATACATTTATGGTATTGCATGAGACATTGCATCACCGGTTTGACGATTTCTGCGTCATGGTAAATTGTTGATCGTCTCACGACGGTTTAACGTCTACTTTTACTTAAAAGTGAGTTACAATTTAATTGACTGAAAGGATTCAGGATAATTGTAATGATATCATGCGTTGTTTTTATTTGCTATATAAATTTTTAAATTATTTTCTTTTGTACTCAATTTAGAATTACAGAATTGCTTTGACTTAATGATTATATATAAATCATATATGTACATTGCATTATATTTTCTTCTATTTTAAATTTTTTGTCTCAACTGATACAGATTAGATTTTTTGTAACATAATTATTTTGCAGTTGTATAAGGTGATTACATTAATACAAAAGATTATTTTTTATATTAATATAATGAAAACATATATTGAGAGATATAAAGCTGTGGCCATAAGTGAAAGCGCTTTAACAAATTGACGTAAACATTTTATATGTAACGAAAAATAAATTAAAAACAGTTTTATTAAAAAAATAATATTTATTTGTAACAATTTTAACATTTTGTTAGTCTTTTTTGGCTTTTATTTACCATCTTTAAAAAAAAAAAAAGCAATAAATTGAGAATGCTTTATAACCAAGGTTGTATAACAAAAATACAAATTTGAATTTACTACAAAAAATAAATTTAAATATTGATATAAAAAAATGACATGGCAAAAAAAGGAAATGTACAAAATCGTGAATTTTAAAAAGCAGCCTTTGAAAATCAAAACAATAACATAAACAATCTCTTTTCCAGAGTCCACTTCAGAAATTCTTGAAATCTTGTTTTTTTGTCGCAATGACCTGACCTACCGATCACGAAGAACTCGCGATAACGGATACCGGATCTGCGTGATAATTTCATGCAGCTTGGCAAAGTAAAATGAAGTGGAATTTCCCGAAACTGATTAGTGCATGAATTGACTCTCTGCCGCCACACGTCGAAAATATAAACAAGATTGATATGGATTAACGAGGAGCAAAATGTGGCCTAGATTAAGACGGTCACGACGTCTGTCAACGATCATTTTCCTGATCGTTGTACTGATAGGCGCATTTCTGATTTGGTCCAGGAGCAAGGAGAAAAGTGCCGATCCGCAATATAACTTTATCCGGTATGAATTAACAATTGATACTTGAATTGTTACTTGAATTGATTACTTGAAATGTCGATTTAAATTCAACGCTGCTTCTGTCTGTTACAGATCACATGGGAACCAGAAGGATTACATCGATCGTCGAGGGATTCATGTAGTAGTCGGTCATTACATAGGAGACTCTGTGGATTCCTTGAAAATTCCGAACATCACGAAAGGTAAATGAATTTAATACATCAGAAGGGGATTCTGCGAGTGGAAATGCTATATATTTTTCTTTTAGATGTTATTAATCAAAATCTGTTCAACCCACTGCCATTTGAAGGCAAGAATGGAGAGCCCGTAGTAATACATCCAAAAGATTTTTACAAGATGCAGCAGTTGTATCAAATTAACCGATTTAATTTAATGGCTAGCGATAAAATACCGCTAAATCGATCTCTACCGGACGTTAGGAAAAAAAAGTAAGGGTGCTATCGTCTAATTCCTTTGTTAGATAAACTTGTAATATCATCTAATTGTAAAATGTTTTTTAAACAGTTCCATTCAAAAAATGTTACAGGTGTCTTTCGCGGTACGCAAACTTAGGTAATTTACCGAAAACGTCTATCATTATAGTATTTCATAATGAGGCTTGGAGTACATTGTTAAGAACAATACATAGCGTCATCAACAGATCTCCGAGAGAACTGCTAGAAGAGATTATTCTTGTTGACGATAACAGTGAAAGAGGTAATTAATTACAAGATTATAATATTATTTTATCATATATATTTATATTTTTTATTATATTTATCATACATATTAACAAATTCAACTCTATTGTCTTGTTATTTGTTGCTAGAATTCCTGAAAACTCCTTTGGATGATTACGTCAAGAACTTGAGCGTCCCTACGAAAGTTCTACGATCTAATGAACGCATAGGATTGATAAAAGCGAGGATTTTGGGCGCGAACGACGCTAAAGGTGAAGTCCTCACTTTTCTCGATGCTCACTGCGAATGTACGGTTGGTAGGTAAGCTCTATTATTTTATAATAACATTTGAAACAATCTTTTCGAAGTTATGTACAATATAAATATTGTAATGTTTGCAGGATGGTTGGAGCCGTTACTTGAAGTGGTTGGTAAAAATGCAACGAGAATAGTCGCTCCAGTAATTGATATAATAAACGATAATACCTTCAGTTATACAAGGTAATTGTTTATTCTTGCATGCATCGGTGATAACATCTTGATAGAAAGCTTTAGTTTTTTTCTCGATGTTTTTCTTTACTCTTTCGTCAATATTTTGAAAATTACTTATTTCATAGATCGTTTGAGCTTCATTGGGGCGCATTCAACTGGGACTTACACTTTCGCTGGCTAACTTTGAACGGTCGTCTATTGAAGGAAAGACGCGATAACATTGTCGAACCATTTCGAACGCCCGCAATGGCGGGCGGATTGTTCTCGATGAACAGAGATTATTTCTTCAAATTGGGCAGCTACGACGATCAGATGCGAATCTGGGGCGGTGAGAACTTGGAGCTGTCATTCCGAGCCTGGCAATGCGGAGGCAGTATCGAGATCGCCCCGTGCTCTCATGTCGGACATCTCTTCCGAAAGTCCTCTCCTTATACTTTTCCGGGCGGCGTCGGAGATATATTATACGGCAATCTTGCGAGAGTCGCTTCGGTATGGATGGATCAATGGGCGGAGTTCTATTTCAAGTTCAATCCTGGTGAGATTATTATTAATGGTGATACACTTTATCATCATTACGAATTTATTTTATCTATTGGGTTAGATCTTTAATTTCATGGACGAGTGGATTCTTATACCTCGAATTTCATTAGAGGCGGCCAGACTAAGATATAAGCAGCAAATTCGTTCGAGATTAGCTTTACGCGAGAAACTGAAGTGTAAAAGTTTCGAGTGGTACTTGGAGAATGTGTGGCCGGAGCATTTCTTTCCAACGGATGATCGATTCTTCGGGAGGGTACTGTTGATTTTATTATATAATGCAACATAAGCTGTCATATACATGTGTATCATATATATCTATATTTATTTAAAAATTAACTTATATATATATAAATTAATTTTTAAATAGTGTTTTATTAAATTAAGATTAATTATAATATCATTCATGTCAGATAGTGCATGCTGAAACAAAGAAGTGCATTATGCGACCGAGTGCGAAAGGTTCTTATGCACAACCTTCAGGGAACGCAGTCTTACACTCGTGCATACCGCGGCCGATGCTCAGCCAGATGTTCGTGATGACCAAAAGCGGAGTGATAATGACCGATGAAAGTGTATGCTTGGACGCACCGGAGCGAGATACCCAACAAAAGACGCCAAAAGTGAAAATAATGGCATGTAGCGGTCGCGAAAGACAGAAATGGCAATATAATGAACAAGTACTGTATTTCTTTGATAAAATATCAGCTTCTTTTAGCGACTTTTCTAGTTTACCAATTATTATTTCCAGACGAAAGTATTTTTGCACGTGCCTTCCGAGATGTGTCTTCAGACGACAACGGACGATGACACGCTTACAATAGCGGCTTGTACTAAGAATCTCAATCAACAATGGATCTTGGAACCAGTTCCTTGGAAGTGATAATCGCGATGTCACTATGTTATTAACAAAGATGAAAAGAAGACTCAGTGCCTTAATGAGCTGTCAGCCTATCAGTAACTAAGTAATATATATTTTTACTGGTACATTAATTTTGCGACAATTTGCAATGGGTGTCATTATAATGTAAAATTAATATTTTTTACTTTTATACTGACGAAATCGAATAGAGCATGTACATCTTTGCTCTGTGACAAGGTTTGAATTATGAAATAAAAAGTAATAGCTACTATTTATTAATTCACTCCTTTCTCCGTTACTTTTTCTCCGTGTCCTTCAATTCTGCATCATTATAATTAAAATTTCTTTAACTTTCTCGTTTTTTTAAATTTGCAATTTAATTTTGTTTATTATTCACTCTTTAATCTCCTTTCCCTTCTCTTCTATTGTAGTCTGTTTTTTTCTGTAAAATTGTATTTAATATTTTACAACACAGATAATTTATATATGTAAAAAAATGAGCACAAAAACATGGTACTTTACATTGTGCGGTCTTTTCATCTCGTAAATGGATCTCGTTTCGCCATCTAATGGATGAGATGACTGTGCTTGATCACGGTTAATAATCTGAACATGAATGATCCGTTTCGAGAATAAGAATGCGTCGATGCCATAATTATCGTGCTCGTATACGTGAGCATCGTTTTGCCATATGGCTTCCTATTAACGTTATACCTTTCAAAGTAACGGCGTATAAACGTCAAAGTTGAATAACTAGTTTGGAAGTGTCTTAAATAAATGCACGTGGATCGCGCGGGGACACGTTCCTTACGCGATCGATTTGGCATTGCCTTAAATAGGCAATTCTCCGCTGTCGCAATTCCGAAGAAGATGCGTATTGTTGATGATTCATTGCTAGTTAAGGCCCTGCCGACGAGTCATCCTTATTGTCATCGTCGCCAAGGCTAAATCGAAACTGCTTCAGTTTAATGTCGTTTTGCTGTAATCTTGAAACGATGAAATCATTTTTACAAGATCCTTTGTTTCCTGTGAAATGTGAGTTATTCTATAATATATATTCCTCCCAAGGAATATTCCTTTATTTAAATACTAAAAATAGTATATTAATACAAATCTTATAATTATAGAATATTAACATAAATCTTACAGATTTATAGATTTTCGAAAAAAATGCATACGTCATGCATTTATTATGTTTAAAGAAAAACGCGAATAAATGTAATAGATTTTCAAAAAATATTTAATTATAGTCCAACTGCATGATTATGTATGAGTTTTATGAATAAAATTTAGCTACACATCCGACGTATTCGCCTTTTTTATTTTAAACGTCCAATTTAACTGACGCTGTCGCAGTACAACATTCCTAATTAAAAATAACGCCTCAAGGATCTCGGTTTCTTCCAACTCTGATCAACTACAGTAGGCAAATATGTTTGCCGAAGGTTAACATACAATATATATAGTTTCCTTGCCAATAACATTTATTCTTTAAAGTATATTATTATTTTTGCGTTTTTAATGACTTTTTTCCGAGAATCTATTGTATATCGTTTGATTAAGAGTTGGGCCAATATTTATGTATTTTAATAGTTTAAAAAATACCTTACACATACATATATGTGATACATGTTTTATTTCTATTATTATCAAATTGTATATCTAAATGTAATTTTTATGTTAAATTTTTCTAAAAACTAAAAACTTTACTGATATATATCAGTTTATGAAATTGCAACAGAAGATAAACAGCAGCGTGTTGTCTTTACTGCATTATTTTTCATTATCGTATTGTACAACTTATGTGTACAGCAATTATGATAAAAACGTTTGTATGTATGAATTTAATAATTATTGCATGAAATTGCGCACACAATATAATTACAAACGCAACATTATCTAACGATTTTGGATGAATTATCTGCCGAAATCTGAAGCCTCAAGGTCGGATTGGCGAACTGATTGGAAAGAAAGAAACGTTCGTTTAAATCATAATGCGCGGTAGGAGATCGATCTCTGTCATATCGTTTCGGCGTGATTTCGATCCAGACGATACGAACGAGTTGCATCCGCGGGCTACTTGGCACAGTTTACCGATATCTGGGTCAAAGTCACGTCCTCGGTGAGGCTGAGAAGGCACTTAGCCCGAAGCGCACTATTCCGCCCGTGCCTTCGGATCTGATCACCTCCAGGCCAAGTTTGGTCGAGATGAGTGAGACTTTATTTATGGATTCACGTCGTATCCGAAACGAATAATTTTTTTTTCCCCGCCGACGAAGGTAACCGAAGCAACACGATACACCGTGCATTTTGCACAAAATTCTAATTAAATTTACTCTTTAATTCGAGAGAAATGTTGTATAAATATGTATCTTATATAAAATATAATATAAAATTATTTATATTTGTGACTGTAGAATACGAATAAATGGATGTAGTTTAGAATTTTCTCATAATTTTCGGAATTCAGCGTCAAATCACGTCGCCAACTCGTCCACCGGCAGTGCAAGTGTTCCGGTTCTCACACACCTATGACCCTGGTCAAGTTGTCGTTTCCCACATTAAATTGCGGTTCTTCTTCTTAATGTGGGGAAAAGAGAACTTAATTTCCTGAAAACGGGAATGTTTTCGGTTGAATCCGTCACTGACCCCCACGACGAGCTGTACAAGAAAAAAAAAGAAAAAAAAAATGATTTTAAAAAGCAGTTGGACGCGCGAGAAAAAACACCAGCTTTACGCTGAAGTCTGGCTTCTAGTTTACAATGTTGCTTTACGGAACAACTGGTGTACTAATGATAATCTAGTTGCTAGCAATTAACAAAAATTTCAAGAGTAAATCGTCGTTGAAAAAAATTAAAGACATTTACGACAGAAGAATCATTGAATCCACATTTGTCAATTTTTATAAAAAAATAAACATGTCTAAAAGAGCTTACAGAAATTAAAAAACAAATAGATCATTTTAATAAATAACATATATAAAATAAACATAAAAAATAAATAATTTATCAACTGTATACTGATTGCGCTGCACTATTAATATAATGTAAAGAACAATTACAACAAATTCGTTTCGCTAATATATATAACTGTTGTTCCCTCCGTCAGTAATAAAAGTATCTTATTCTTGTATGTCGAAGATTTGCAGAAAGGATTTGGTGGGTAAATGCAATTATACACAAAGTAGTCTTCCTTATATATATATTGAATCATTATATATATATTTTTTTGCATCAAATATTACATATTGACATATATACAGTCATCATCGTGCTGCACACACAAAGGCGTGACTATACGTAACTATAAATGTCATATGGAAAATAGGAGTGACGAACAATTATAGGATCGTTCACGGACGTCATCTTTACTCGATCATCCCGCGTTCGATGAGCCAACCGCGTCCTCACGCTCATGAGTTGGATTGGCCACGTTTAGCAGAATGTTTATTTTAAACTGTTGAAAGTTTTCTTCGCGCTGATTGGATTACACTTTCAGATCTAGAGGAATATATAGTCCTATCTCAGCGAAGAAGACTTTCACACTTGCAAAAATAAACATTCTGCTGAACGTGGCCGTTGAACAATTTCAATGGATTATTCGGCAAAGCAGTTTCAATCAACAATCTAAGTTAACACAGTTTTCTGAAGTACATAATTTCTTTCTTGAGAAATTTTTAATTGTAGCACTTATATCATTCAAATAACCATTATTTTCTAATAAGAACATTATGTTGAGCTCTTACGACATAATTAAAATGAGAATAATCAGGAGGTTTAAAAGGAATTTCAAAATTAAAATAAATTTTTTTAAACAAAACGAGGAATTTTCAGCTACTTTTTGGGACGAACCATTAAAATGTACTTCGGCGGAGTATCGTTCATTTTTCACGCAATGCACAAACAATTTATTAAAAGAGAGAACGTGTATCTTATTCTCTGCAACAGTTAATAAAACAATACTACGATCGTCCGTCGATCGCTCGTCCGATTGAAGACGCTTCGCGCTTTTTCCATGCTCTTCAACATTTGACTATAGATATATAAGTAGAATCTGTGGGATTGAACTGAGCTTGACAGCGCTTGTGTGTGTATGTGTTCGTGTAAATGTACGTGTATAATTTACGTGTCCTTAAATATTACTTGTTCTAAAGGTAACGAGCGCTTTATAGCTTCCTCGGCACACGGCGCCGTTTCCGTGGCTAATAGTTAAAAGTACGTATAACTCGGTAACCTCGGTCAAATCACAATCGTGGTGGTACGATTTATATTTATATGTATATATTATCTATATATATATATATTCACATATATATCTGTATATATATATTTTTTGTATCTATATACCTCATATAAAAATTAGAGATAGTTCTTTACAAGTTCTCTTAATACATACCGCGCGCGGTTGACTATATATAATTACAGGATGGTGGTACGAACACTCGTGCGAATTGGATCGACAGTCCCATTAGAATTCGACGATAGCGACGATCGAGATCGCGGTAGGACCCAGAGGTGGCTACAGGCCAGACTTAAATCGTAACTAAAATAAGGATCTATAAGCCAGACTTAAATTAATCGAAGTAAGATGTCACGTCGTCGTGATGGCATACGCGCAGCTGCGAAATTAAACCGATTCTTTGGTCCACGTATCGCGAAATTTTACTCTCGTAATTTAAACATTATCGCTTAATTTAAGAATATTGCGTTTCTCGAATAGCGCGTTCACCGTCGAGATGACATCTAGACGCGAATTGTCAAGGCGATCGAATGATCCTTTATGAAATTGTGGAATAATGGAAGCGTAATATCGGGATGATATCGGGACGCGATCGTGGCGCAAAGATGTAGTAAATCTTGTTCAAAAAAAATTTCGGGGATACTCGAAGGTCCGACGCTCATTGCACATCGCTCATCGCAGCGTTACGTCCTACGGCTTTGTCTAACTAAAAGATTGAGCCTCGCGAATACGAATTCTAGGTATACATCGCTCTTATGTGAAAAACGCTTGCATAGGCACTGTGCCGTACACGCTACATATCCTTATCATTAATGTCGTTGCTACGATACGCACTTATACAGTGTAGTCGTCGACGAATTTATGATTCGCGACTGAAAGGTAACATAAGGCCCGCGTGCTGAGGAGCACCGCACAGCTCGCGCAAACGCTCGAACAAAACGTTACAGTTTCCTAACGGCGACCAAGCGCTCTCACCTCTCTACTCTCCTCCGCTAATTCTCTTTCTTTCTTTCGTCTCTATTTTTTTTTCCTTCATCTCTGGCT